TTTGACAAAAATTCAATTACGGAATACAAGACATGATATTCAATACTTTTGTGATGATTGAGTCTATCTATAGCTCATGTCGTCTCAAGTAATCCGCGATTTGATAAATGTATGCAAAGATTGAACACAAATACAGCATTTGATTGAATAAAACAACTTTTGATCGCATTTTCCTTGTTTTCCAACTCTTTGCGAATAAATACGAAAATTCTGTCGATTTTTCGGTTTTGCATATAAAGGGTTTTATTGACAAAACGTTTTGTTTTTAAATGAATTTATGGTTTTATAGCTGAGTATTGGTCTTGAAATTAGATTTGCTTCAAAGGGAAGTCAAATAACTGTCAAAAGAGTCGATAATTTTGTAAAGAAATGTATGAAAAGTGAAGTGAAATGAGATTTGGAGACGAAAGCGGAATAATAAATCAAAAGCAAAGTATATTTTGAAAACTATTCCCACTTTTAAAGCAAATCTCTTGAACTCAGTATTGTTTTAACAGTCATTTTAGGAGTCATTTAACAATAGACGCCAACGCGAGACCAATGGCCGACCATTTCAATCAGTTTTTGGCGAAAAATACATTTATTTCGAAATAAATTTCGTATAAAATACAAGTTTTATATGTTTTTGAATTTGAAATTTAATTTATTTTCAATTAAACGTCTATTCAATGACTGAATTAACAGCAAATTAATCCAATTTCTAATGCTTTTCAGTCAATACTGAGCTCTGAATCTGTGTTTCGAAAGTTTTATTTAGAAATTAATGTTTGTTTTGGAAATTTATTTAGACACCAAAAAGGCATTTATTTATACATTAATTGAATTCACATTTGAATAAATAATGTCATAAATTGAAATAAATATCATCTAAAATGCATTTCATCCGAAAGGAAGTGAATTTGTTTACATAAAACACAACATCTCTCTCCAAATGTCACAATTTGTATAATAAGACACGAGTTTTGACAGCTTTGCCGCCAATAAGCCATCGTAAGCCACAATAAGCCGGTTCCTTTGCTTCCATGCATTTATTAACATCTAATTCGTGACAAAAAGCAATAAGTTTATTGTTTGATTATTATTGACCGTAAGTTTATTACGAGCCTTAATTAGTCAAAATATTTGTAAAGGGTTTAATACTAAAGTAAAGCATAAATAGAATTATAAGAAACGAAACATAACGAAAAGATTTTTTACAGAAAATTAAACCTTTTTTATGTTCTCTGAAATATTTAATTTAAAATTTTTAATAACATTTTACGAAATATTAAACTAATTCTAAGATTTTATTTTTATGAGATTTTAAACAAAATATATTACAAAAAATAAGTTTAATTAAAGAGATTGTGAATAAAATGATGAATAAAACTGAATGAATATAGGGATGAAAATAAACAAAAAATAAAACGTTTAATAAAACATTTAACAACAAACACATAAATATCATAAAATATTTATTTCACAATTCTTTGTTTTATTTGAATTCATAATAAACTCTGAAATCAAGAATTCCAAGAATAATGCGATAAATAGTGAAAGAAAAAGAAAATTATATTATTTATGATATTTTATCACAAAAACCAAATAATTCAATTCAAAAACTAACTTAACTTAAAATATAAAATTTTGAAAACGTTTATAAAGATTACTCTCTGTTTTATACTCGCTTTGAAGAACAGTATCTGAACTCTCGTTACAAATGTGTTGATTAACATATTTAGATTGCTATGAAAGCCGCTATAAGTAAGCAGTTTTGGTCAGAATGTAGATTCAGTTCAATGTTCTGAACGTCGAAAGCAAACACAACTCGAGTTTTATTCACACTTTCCTTCAAATTATTGTATAAAAGATTGCTATGAAAGCCGCTATAAGTAAGCAGTTTTGGTCAGAATGTAGATTCAGTTCAATGTTCTGAACGTCGAAAGCAAACACAACTCGAGTTTTATTCACACTTTCCTTCAAATTGTTTTGTTTTTGTGGGAAAAGCAAAGACTTTGCTCTCAATTCCGAGTATTATTTCGTTTGTTTAATACAAAAAATATATTGAAATAAATTGATTTTGCTTTTCAAATATGAATAACGACTGCGAATGAGAGAAAATATATTTTAATTTACGAATCGTATTCAAAATGAGATGTTTTTCGAGAGAAGTCTATTAATAATGGACTAAATTATTCACAATAAATTGAATGATGTTTTCTGTAGTGTTTTGATAGCATTTGTGTGCATTTCGTAACAGTTATTTGCTTTCGACTCTTACGGCTATTTTCGTTGTGTTTTACGAGTGATAGAGAAATACAAGGCTTTAATTACACGACTGTTTGTATTAAATAAAGTCTCCATAAGTCCTATAATCCGTTCAAACGGTAAAACATTGGAAATTATTGTTGACTACTCTCTCATATGTTAACAAAAATATGGTTTTCGAGTACTTTTCGGATATATTTTCATTAAAATAGACTTTTAATAAGGAGTAACGTTATGTCCTTTAATAGGATTATCGGAATATATTTGACGACGAATTCAATGCCTTTTATTCATATTTGAGGCAAAGGTTTAGAGAAAATACTTTTTAATGACAAATACTTTGAAATCCTTTTATTCAGAAATTGTTAAGCGA